AGCAAAACATGGTTATTGGTTAGGGGTTTATCCACTGGCTCACTAGCTGATATTAGCTAGTTGTACAATTAATGCTGGACATGAAATGGGTGCGGAGAACTGTATGCACTTCTTTGGGGCAGCAAAGTGAACTATAAATGAAGCACTTTTGAGTTATCTTCCTTGAAAATGATTGAGGAGGGAAATGGTCTACCCATATTTCAGACACAGTTATGCTCACAAAGTTTTGTGTTTAGTTTTAGACCAGAAGTTAGGAAAATATTTTCTCTGTTTAAAGTTCCTGGTTAATTTAATAATTTCTAAAACCTAAATGGCTTGAGTGTAGTGAGTTGCAGATGATTAAAACAGTACCATTGCAGATATTAATGTTAGTTTTCCTGTAGGATCAATACATCAAGAAAGGAGGGTGGCTTGGGTTCCACAAATATCCCACTTGTGGCAGACATCAACCACAACATTTCTAAGGACTATGGTGTGCTCAAGGAAGAGGACGGCATTGCATACAGGTATGGAGAAGTCGGTTCTAAATGAGTTTGGAATGACTTGTGGTAGCTGATGGGCATTTTGGTAGCTTAGTTGATATAGTCCCAGTTACCATATGTTTCTAGTGGTGTAAGTAGAGTCAGCAGCCCTGATGCTGCAGGACTAATATCCATTCTGTTTATTAGCTAGGTCTACCTAATCCATGTTATTCAAACAGCAATATCCTGGTCAGGTGAATATAGGAAAGCTGTAGTAATCTAGTTCTTAGCAAATACAGACTTGGGGGCTCTCCAAGATAAGAGTGTCTGTAGTTCAAAGAATTTACTGGACCTATCTGGCATTGCCCTAGCTTTCTTCTAGGTTATCTCTTTAGATTGAGGTGGCTACATGTGCAAAAATTCAAAATACCCATAGTTCATGTTTGATTCTGGCCTTATGTCCTATTGATAAAGGTAATAGGCATAAGGTTCTAATAGGTTCCAATGGCCTGCAATTTTTAAAAAGATGGTAACGCTTGCAATTAGTAATGTTCCCTTTTTTCCCCTCAGAGGTCTGTTCATAATAGATGATAAAGGCATCCTGCGACAGATCACAGTGAATGACCTACCTGTGGGACGTTCTGTGGATGAGACACTGCGCCTGGTTCAAGCCTTCCAATTCACAGACCAGCATGGTGAAGGTGAGTGATAGATCCTGGGATAATGGAATGATCACAGAAAGCTGTAGCGGTAGTGCTCTGGAAATGATGGTAGATTCAAGGTTGCTTCATTGTACCTTGTTTTTCTTTATGGGGCAGTGATGGGTCTGAGTGAGGCAGTGGGGAATGCATAGCAGACTTCAAACAGTGTTTTAGCAAAAAGATAAATTTGGCTTAAAAGCAGATTTCTTCCCTAGTTTAATCTCCTCCAGGTGATTTAGACCAGTTGTTATCCCTTAGTCAACATGATCAACAGCCATGTTATGGGAAAGCTACAATGAGAGGTTGTCATTTAGTAAAGCAGGTGTCTTAGCTGCTGTATACATTTTGCAAAATTACTGAAGTTCAGTGTTCTCCCATAGGTTTTGGTGATTTCAGAAGGTTTTGGCCATGTATATATATTTGTGTATCTATGGATGGGTGGATAGATTTATTAGATTTATATAGCCACCCATCTCACATACTGTACATGACTCTAGGTGGCTGACAATAACTTAGATAAAATGCATAGTATAAAAAACCAAACACATAGCAGCCATGCTTCATAAAACAGTTATTAACATAGCAAGGAGACAGATTCTGTTACACACCCAGGGCCCTAGGCTCAGGCACAAAATCAAGTTTTCAGGACCTTATGGAAGGCCAGCAGTGACAGGGCTAATCTAATATCAGAGGGGATGATGTTCCAAAGGGTGGGTGCCACAGCAGAAAGGGCTCTCCTGGGCCCCACCAGCCAGTACTCCTTAGCCGATGATACCCAGAGCGTGCCCCTCCTGCTGGATTGGGGAGAGACAGTCCTGTAAGTAACCCAGTCGATAGATAGTTGCTGACACTGTTTCAGGAGGTAATTAATGTTTTATACTCAGCAGTGCCATATAGTGAACCTCTTTAGTAGAGCCTTTCAATGTATGTAAAATTTCTCAGATCTACAGTTAGCAACACTTTCAACAATTTTTGCCTAGAGCAAACTGCAGTGTAGCTTGGTATCTTTCCATTTCTCATGCTATGTCTTGAAGACAGTTTCAAGAATGAACATGAAATCACTTTGATCTGATGTAACAATCTCAACTTGCAAAACCAGTAATAGCATGAAGAGAAATAGATATATTAAACCAAATTATGTCCTCTATTTTAGATAGCACATCTAAAGTGCAGGTCGCTGTCCAAAATGTTCCATAAAACAACTTGTAGTCAAATAACTGTTGGTAATTAAGCCAGTAAAGAAGCTTGAGGCATTTGCTTTCCCAGACAGAGGCATACATTTTCTGAAGCCAGAATAGGAGCTGTTAGATCCAAACTGGAAGGAGTCTAACAGTGGGCATATAATATATACATATTACCCTCAGAGGCTAGAAGATCTTATCTTAATTTGCCTTAACTGACTACATTAAATACTAGAGTTAGAATATTTTTGGTGGGCTAGAATGTTGTGAAGTCATGTTTAGATATCCTGGCAATCCTGCTTCATCCATGGCTTAACGTTGTATGAACCAGGAATATGGGTGCTGAATTGTTAGCTTGCCCATAGCGCAAACTATTCCCAGATAGCGTGAAGTCATCCTGGTTTGTTTAGCCATTTCTGCCAATGCAAGTTGTTAATTCCCAGAATCTTTTATAATCCTTGCTGATTATGTTTTCTAATCTACATTACACCCACATCTTTAATCATGTTTCCCTAACAAAGGGTGAAAAAATAACCGAAGTAACCATTTTTACTTTTTTGGGTGGAAGAAAGATAAAGCAAGGCTCAACATCACTGTTTCATGCAAATGGATTCCAGCAGAACAACTCAACCTCAGGTTTGGGTGCTGGGTAATTAAATTCAGCTGTTTTGCCCCTTATGAAAGGCACTTGAAAGGGCCTTGGAACCTCTAGTGATTTGCTTTAAACAGAATTCTGCCAAGGGTATCCTAATCAATGAACTGTAAAGTACAAACCAGCTTTGACAATCCTTTCTTTAGAAATCCTGAGGGTACAGGAGCCCATAAACCTGGCATACCCATGCACCAAGCTGTTTAGCCCATTATAATTGACCTGCCTTGTCCACCTTCCTGCCTGAGTTCATACAACACACTAAGCCATACAGTGCCTTATTTGGTTTTGTTTAGTGTACTGTTGAACCCAGCCAATTGTAGTTTGCATTTGCTTAACCACAATTCATTAAACAATCATACTCTTTCAGTGCTATTCCTCTCTAGCTCTGCTTCCTCCTTTAACTTGCTACATCACAACTCACTTTCAAAAGTGATTATCTCTACCTAACCAATTATCTTTAAGATGTCTTTGCTCACCTACCAGTTCACAAACCAGGCTAAGCCAGTTTTGTTCACATGACATGTGCCATTAAAATCTTCAGTGTTGCCATCTTGGATCATCTTAAGATGCTGTACTTTTAGGCTATATGTAAATTAAAGCATTTGAAATAAGACTGAATTAAGATAACAGGTATTAACAATATGGTAAGCCAAAAAGCACAGATAAAAGATTTAAAATTATATTGGGTACCCAATAACCTAGGTTTATAGCTAAGTGTATAGTTTGAACATGACCATTATGGCTTACAACAATTCAGCCATTTCTTCCTGTTCTTTGAATAAACAGTATACAAACTCTCCAATCCTTGGGTTCTGTGAGACCTTTTCCTTGAATCTATCCATTCTGTCAAGCCTTCCATGTTCACCCTTTCAAGCCTGCACCTTCAACTTGCATTTCTGACAAGTTCTTTTTTTTTGGGGGGGGGGTGTAATTCTATTTCTTTTCTTTTGACTTTTTTCTCTTCTGTAATATTTCCTCACCTGACTTACACAAGACCCACTGTCCCTGAACTTTTGCAGCCATTTAGATGCATCTTTCAACCAGGACTGTTCCTAGTACCAAATGGTTGAAGCTGGCAGTTCTGGAAGTCCAAGTCTGTAGAATGGTCAGCTTTAGCCAATATGTGTTCATTTTGCACATCACTGTGTGAGTTGCCTACAAAACGAACTGCACAATGGCACTGTGCAAGTATTATCTACTGTCATTTAGAACATCTTTCTGGATATGTGAATATTCAGTAGCAGTATGGACTGAATCTTAACTGCAGAACTATTGCTCTCCTGCCCTGCTTTTGGGCTTCCAGGAGGTATTTGCTTAGGCACACCTGAAAATACATTTGAAGCTGGAAGAATTGCTGTAGTCTTATAGGTCTTATTGCCAACTGGAACACAGTAGGAATTGCAAGTATTGAGCTTTTTGGAATGCTGTCTTTGTAGAAATTCTAAATAGTGTGCATGCACACACACACCCATGTTACGAACTAGCTTGGGTGCCTCCCTGTTAGTTCAACTAGCCAGTTTTATTTCTTGTTAACAGAAATAAAGAAGAGGTGGCCTTGCTGCCTTACATTTGCTCCCTCTGTTGTCTTGAAAAATCCTTATTCCAGTTTATTTACCTACTCTAATATTTCCTCCTGTTCTTGCTACAGTGTGCCCAGCTGGCTGGCAACCTGGCGGCGACACCATCAAGCCCACTGTGAAAGACAGCAAGCTTTTCTTCTCCAAGCAACAGTAGATTTCTCCTCTTGAATGCTCACTCTATTACTGAAGAGATCTGGTTTAATGTGAAGGGATTCCCAGTAAATTCTCTAGAAGAAAGAGTTTTGGGGGATAGTTTATCTACAAAAGTCTACTATAAGTAATTGTCGATAGAACTAGATTGAATGCAAATTTCAGTTGGGCATCTCATTCCTTAGTAAAATGATTATTAAAAGAAGCCTGATGGTACCTTCTGATGTCTGTATTGCAGAACTTATTTCAAAATAAGACAGTTCCAAATGCTGAATTAGCATTTAATGGTTATGCAGGAGTTGGGTTTTGTATGCAGAAAGTGAAAATTCCCAGTCCTTCTATAGAATTCCCTTGGGCCCTTGAACAGAAGCAGACAATGTCTGATTTGGAAATGTCACAGCATACGTTCTTGTTTGTCTTTGCCATCAAGTCTCTTGATGAGGTGTGTCAATACAACTGGCTTCTGACACTGGTTTTTAAAGTGATAAAATCCAGAGAAGATACAGCTATTTCTTAGCTGACAAGCCACAAATTAGGACACCTACTGGAGAAGAAAGTAGATCTAAATCTGTTGAAATGGAAAATACAATCTTGTTTAGTCCATTGTCATCCAGTTCCAGAAAATACACAAATGCTTAGTGCAAGTTGTTATCCTGGAACATTTTATTTGTATAAAATAGGACATTTAACTCCCCCCTAGAAAACCCATTCCTGGGGGCTGAAGGAACTTTGAGGACCATGAAATAATGTGTGGAGAGAGTAGGAAAAATCCACATCCTTCTGTGAATAAGGAGAAACTTAAAAGAGCTGCATTTTTTACAAAACTGGTATTCCAGGTTTTTTTTCCCCCCTCTTCTCCCCCTCCTCCACTTGTGTTTGTGTCATTTAGATTGTACGCCCTCCTATTATATGAAAGCCTTTTTGGTTATAGAGCAGCAGAAGTAAATTGAACAGGTAGAAGCTGACTGACTATAGGCATCCACCTTCTACAGTCCTCTGTTTAAGGTATTGTGTCGTTTTAAAGCTTGCTGGAGCTGCTGCTGAGATCTGGCTTAGCATATGATATGAACTTAGCCACTGATTAATAACCCATTTAGGGCTTAGTATGCTTTATGTTCAATTGCTTAATTTCACCATTCCCAGCTATGAAAATCTAGACTCTTTTTATAAATGATGCATTCGTCTTCCTAAGACGGACAAATGTGTAACGTAAGAAGAAAAATACTGGGTAGATTCCTTAGTTCAACAAATACATCCTGATTCAGAATGTAGAAAATTTGCTGCAGACTGAGAAGCTTGGTCATATTACTGTTATGCTGCTAATTGTTATGAAAATTCAGAGCAAAAGTGAGTAGACAACATACACCCCATCAACCTTTTTGTGGTAGCCCTCAAAGCAGCCTCCCCCAATTCATACAGCCAAACCTGGGAGAGAGGGTATGCTTTTTGTTTAAGAAAAAAGACTGCAAAGGCAGATATTTTGCCCTTTGAGAAATTTGTCACTTACCACATTTTGGAGCCCGTTCCTTCCTATGATACAGGCATACTGCTTACAACCTTTAAAAGCTAGAAAAATCCTCTAGGCTCAGTCTGAGTACATAAAGATGCCCTCATTTAGTGGGGGGCGGGGGTGCTTATTCCATGCTATCTTAGATTTACTTGTATAATAGCCCAGTTTTTCCCCTGCTGCTAGAATGTAGGCAGCATAACTGGTTTGGGCTGTATTTATAGTTTAATTCTGGTTTTCTTAATCTTGATTTTTGTGGGGGAAAATCCCCAATACCACACCAAATGGGATCACTTAACATGTCAGATTGTAAATAACCATTTGGCTGAATGTATTACATGGACCTTGCCTAAACTTTACATGTCATTTGTATAACCAAGTACATCTTGGTACCGTATAGATGGGCGGGACTACCACTACTTTGAGTACTCTGGCTAGTTCTGGGAGTTGCAGTCATAATACTCTGTATTCAGTAAAACTAGACTTCTCATAGTCTTTCCAAATAAATTACTGAAATACAAATATCACGTATTATTTAGTATTACTGAGGTACATTTGACTTTGTATAAGCAATATGAGATGCTGCCTCTTTAATATTAAATTATTAAAACACACATCGACATGAGTAGATTTAAGAAGCATTTTCTAAATATTAATGTACTGCTTGTAGTTTGACTCCTAGGAATTTCATGGACACCATCTAGCTTTGTTGGCAACAATGCAGAAGTGATTTCTCATTGCTGCCTTCTGTTTTGGCTTTGTATTTTAAACTTTGTTTTCCAACTAGTCCACAATCCTGGTATTCCCTGAAAGTTTCTCAGTGAACTACAAACTAGGCTTGACCATGTCATTTTTCTAGACAGCCAAGAATTATATCTGGACTTGAAAAGGAAAACTTCTGCTGTTCATGTTATGCCACCAGAGGATGCTATAGCTTCACAAAATGAGTTTCTCATTTGTTTTATCAAAACAAAAATCAATGGGGTATAGTTAAGCTGAGCTTTCTACTAACTCTAATTTTTAATTTGGCTGCACAAACATGAAAAAGTGTAAGATCATATGGGTCAAAACAGGACACAGAGTATGCTAAGTTTTGTTAGTGCCTAAAGCACTATTGGACTGTAACACACAATATTGCTATAGGAGGACCAGAAGTAGGGCCGCTTTTGGTGCAAAGGACTCAGTATAAATTTACCTGGGTTTCTGTAGAACTGAGAAAACCTTATTTCTGGAAATATACTGGCTGCTGATTTTGAGCAAGAAAGGCCTTTTTCTGCCATCTAGTCCTTGTATCGGAACTGACACAAAATACTATTGATTTTGTCCCACTGAGCCTCATTGCAGCTGTTTTACCCTTGGCAAGTAAAACAGAAGCAGGTATAAGACCGTTGCATCCGACTACATAACCATGGCTTTATCTCTGTGTTCCAAAATATGCAGAGAAAGAGTTGACTTACAGTGTTAGTCTTTTATTCTGAATAGTTTGGAAAAGTTTTTTTCAAAACAAATCCTGTTTCTCTGCCTCTCCTGTGCCAACTCAGTTCAGTTGTAGTTTACCCACTCTGTCAAAAACAAAACAAGGGAAGGTGGTGCTATCAGAGTTCCATTTTTAAAATTCTTTGTTGTCTATGATTACTACAGATAGTCCTTGTTTAGCAACTGCCTCATTTAGTGACCATAGTTAAGATGGTGATGAAAAAGTAACTTTGCGACCAGTCCTCACCTATACAATCTTTGCAAGTCTGTAAAGCAAAGAAAAGCTGAAGTAAGATCATAAGCACAGTCACGGTTTCATTTAGTGAATGCTTCGCTTAATGACCAAGTTGCCGCTCCCAACTCTGATTGCTAAGACAAGGACTACCTGTATGGGCAACTCTCCAGTTTTCAGCCAGAAGACTACCTCAGTCCTACCAGATGATGAGTTTAACCCTAGAATCTTCAATATAGAAAGCACAAGTTGAATCACGGAGCTACAGGTGAAACTTGAAAAATTAGAATATCATGCAAATGTTCATTTATGTCAGTATGGCAACTCAAAAGGTGAAACCAATATATGAGATAGACGCATTACATGCAAAGTGAGA